AGAGACCTGAACGAGGAAAAATCTGCACGCATTTCTGCTCGATTTGTAACTTTAAACTTTAGTCTCCATTTTATCGTCAAATTTTTAGGAGTTTGAGCCATTTTCCATGTTTTTAAGTGGAATTCAGAACAATCTAAAGTAAATCAGAGCTGATTTTAACCAGAAAGGTGAAGCTCTTCTAAGGCTTTTTCCCTGAAAATGAACTGGACATGAAACTTTATTTAATTTAAGACATTTTATTCAAAAGTTTAATCAACAGCTGGACTGACAGAAAACACAAAAACAGGCGGATTTCAACAACAGCTCACAGGAGGATCAAAGATTTGAGGCTTTCAGCAGGAAAAAAAACGCTTAAAGGAGAGAAAAAGTGGAAAAAGAGGAAACAAAATGTGTGGAAATGTCCTGTTTCTCTCCCCAAAGGAATAATTACAAAAAAAACAACAGTTTTACACATAAATCAGGAACTTCTTCAGGATGTCCAGTGGATCCTTATGGCTTAGTCAAAGTGGGTAAACAATGATTCAAATCTCCAAACTGCCCAGAGGAAATCCGCCAAAAACCAGCCCAGAAAAAGTGGATTTTTAAAGCCGCTAAAGGTCAAAAACAGCCCAAGTGTCATGACTCTTTTCTCTGAAGATCAGAACGGTTAAAGCGCATCCAGGCGATTGCTCTGCTCTAATAAAACCCAGATTTTTTCCCCTAAATTTCCTCTGAAACCCAGATTTTTTTCCCCTAAATTTCCTCTGAAACCCAGATTTTTTCCTCTTAAATTTCCTCTGAATCCCAGATTTTTTCCCCCTAAATTTTCTACTAAATCCAAGATTTCTCCCCCCTAAATATCCTCTGAATCCCAGATTTTTTTGCCCCTAAATCCCACATTTTTCCCCCTAAATTTCCTCTGAATCCCAGATTCTTTCCTGAATTTCCTCTGAAGATCAGCCCGGTCAACGCGTCTACTCTTGACGTCCCAAAAGCATCAGAGCTTCTCTGTTTTGGTCCTTTTTCATCTTGAACAAAACACTGTATTTTGCCCTTTTTTGTCAGGAAAACCCCGTTTTAACTGGCTGGAGACCTATTACTCTTCGCCATATTTGTTCCGCGACTTATTAGGGGGG